AAACCCCCAAAGAGGACTAGAAAGTTAAGCGCGCCGGCGAGATTGGAATGGAGCAGGCGCGCGTTCCAGCCCGGCGTTCTCGGGAGCCTTTAGACCTGCCTCCAAGATCAGCCCAATAAGAACTGTCAGGGGAGGCTCTCCGCTCCTCACTTTTCTTCTTTTTCTTCCCCCACATCGCTTCACAGTTCCATTTGGCAGGCGGGCACGTCGGAGAGCCAGAAAGCGAGCGAGCGAGCAGCTCGGCGCGTCTGAATGAGTGGATTTATTTTGGAATATCCCTCCCGTTCGCTCGGCCGGAGATGGGCTGTTGCAGCTGCTGCTGCCGCCGCTGCCGCCGCTTGTGCTGCCGTTGCAGCCGCCGCCACCGCCGACGAGCGTTGCAACGGGAGACGGAGACCCGGCACTGATCCAGCCCCGCGCTTCGCCTGGCCAGCCGGACCGAAGAGGAGAGGAGCCCCAGTCGCCCCGGCGCTTCCTCGCTCCCCAAGACCGTGGGAGAAATAAATATTTTTATTTTATTTTATTTTTTAGAAAAAGAGAAAAAAATAAAAGCCGAGGGAAAGCGAGCGAGCCAGAGGCAACATTGGTGTGAAAGAATGAAAGCCGGTCGGAGGCAGGTACCCGCTCTTGGCCAAGCTCGCCCGGGCGGGCGACTATTCGCCTCCCGCTGAAAGAACAAGTAGCCACCTTTCCAGTCGAATCTTACGATTATTTGGGGAGGGGCGGGGGGAACCGTATTTATTTCACCGCGCTGAAGTAGGAGTTTGCAAGACGTTCCTTCTTGGAGCTCCGGGGGGGGAAGAAGCCAAGCAGGAGGTACCTTTTGCCGTTATTTTTTTGGGTACGTGATAAGATTTCTCCTGGGTTAGAGAGTCTTATTACCAGGAGAGGAAGAGGGTCGCGGAGGGAGAAGTATCAATCTCCAGCTACCTCGGTCTCTCCGATAGCTCGGATAGTTTTGTCTACTTATTCAGCTGGGTCTTCTTGGGGATTCCTAGTTTGGGGGGTCTGAGTGAGGATGGTGGTGGAAGATCTCAAGGTGCCCATTCCGGACATGCCTTTCTGCAGGACTCTGCGATGGCGGTGGGGTGGTGTGTGGTCACCGGTGGTGGAGGGGTTGGTCCTTGTGCCCCCCCCCCCAATTTTAGAACACTAAATCACTGGTCTCTTTCCCACCATCTGGTTGATAGATCCAGGCATACATTCAAGACTTGAAAGACGTTGCCTGGTTGGTGTTGATAATTTTTCTCTAACCCCCCCCCCCCAGATATATTGAGAATCGCCTTCTAAAAAAAGAACATAGCCAGCCGCCAGCCAGATACAGAGAAAGGAGGGTAAACTGGGCTGGTGGAGAGGGGCAATCTAAAAACAGAGAGGAGGGAGAAAATTAACACTGTTGTTATTATTTTCATTTAATGTTAAATATTATGCTACTTTGGCTGAGAAAATCAAGGGTTTAGAAGTGAGCCTCTCTCCTCCCGGTTTCTCAAAGCAGTAAGTGAGCAGTCAAGCTCCTTTTCTACAAGTTGCTGCCCCCCTTCCCCCAAAAAGGGAACGGACCTCAGTTGCCTACCTTAGCAAAGCTGTAGCCATATCAAGATGAAACTTAGGATCAGCCCCCACCGCACCCCATGTTATCTCCAGTCCCTTGATAATGACATGCTTTCCAAGGAAGATACGGAGAACACTATTGACCCCCTCCCTCCAAGCCAGCTTCTCTCTCTCCTAAGCGCTTCATCCAGAATTGAGGAGGGGTGGTGTTGGGGAGAAGGCTTGGAGGAATAACATGTTCTCTTACATTCCTGCTTGTATCTAACAGCTGCTGGGTAGTAACATCCCAATCAAGCTGTCAAACAGTCTTCCCCGCCAGGCTACAGTGAGCCATGGCAGAACATTTTGTTCAGCCATGGAACAGCACAGGCAACAGATCAGAACATCTCAGATTTGGGGCAATGTAGGCAGGGATTTGCTCTAGGTCCTTATTTTTGCAGGTGGTCTTGGTGGGGGCTTTCTTAAAGGAATCAGCAGAGGAGTGGCAGTGCTGGTTAACGTGGTTTCTGCAAGGATACAAGGCTTAGAGTTTTAACTGAAATAGGCTGCAGATTTGGATGGAATCCTTCCAAAGTGACTTGCAAAACCAGCCATCGATGCCAACAGGTACCAAACTATGTTAAGCGCAGTTCCATCTTTAACTTCCCCTTCCCTTGGATACAGAAATAAATGCAGATACAGACAGACAAAAAGAGTTATCCTTAAGGTTGATAATACCCTGAAGGAAGAGGTAAGAGAGGAAGAACCACTGGCTATTGATTCCCAGGAGCATCACTGTAAGGGGACTCTTTGTCAGTCACCCATTACTGTTAGCTGGCCATGGACTCGAAACATAACATAATGTTTGCATTAGGAGGGATCTAACAGCTGCTCACTTCAGTTCCAATTAAATAATGTCACTGATAACCAGCAAAGCTATAGAGAAGCCTCTTAACTTTATCCACCCTCTCTTGAAAATTCCCAGCAAGGCTTTCTTTGCAGACAGGGGCTAAGACTGCAGTCTTCTGCCCTTACAGAAAGTAAATTCACTGACATCATTGAGACTTAATTCCAAGTAAGCATTCTTAGGATTGGATTGCTCCATGTGGCACTTTCTGAGGAAAGCGTTTAGCAGGAATCCTGGAATTAAGGCAAGGGATATCCAATTGGAGTTGACCTGCTACAGAAAGCCAAGATTTGTTGAAAATAATCAAAGGGAATCACAGAGTTCCCAATGGTCTGAATTCACTTTTTAGCTGTCTGAGAAATCATGCAAAAGAACAGACGGAGACTAAATATTCCACTGCAGTGGGGGTATTCTGCAAACATGCAGCGCCAGGAATGTAAATGTCACTATTAGTAATAATAATGATAGCAATTAAAAATCAAAGTTTATAATAATAAGTTGGTCTTAGCTTTAAGCCAATTGTATCACTTTTCTGATTTATTTATTTTTTAGGGGGAGGAGAAGTACACCAAAGGAAAGGGATAGCTAAGCACAGTCTTGTCTAACTGTTCCATGCATCCAACATAATAGTTATGTTTCACTATTTGCTATCTGAACCACAGTCTTCCCTGTGAAATGCAGTTGATTTCACCCTCCCCCTGCAATATTGCTTTTTATAGATTCTTGTCTTGCTTACACACACACACACACACACACACACACACACACACTTTCCCCTTGAAATGCTTGCAATTATATGATGGATATTAATTAACCTCCACAATATCGGTACTTAGCTACATCTTGAGGGCCTTCTGAAATAGGAGATAACTGCCAGCTGTATTTTGGGATTGAGAGACATGATAAGTTTTGGGGAATCAATTATTATTGTTTTTAATTAAATGAAAATTGGTCCCTTAAAAATAGCTTTGGAAATGAAGGAACCTTTTAAAACAAACACCAAAGTTTCTGGGAAATACTGGTTAAAATATGTCTCCCTGTAACACTTTTCATGTGGTTGGTAAACAACCATTTCTTTGCTCTCCTCTTTAAAAAGGAGGAAAAGAGAGAATAAATACTGCTCTTCCTAACACTCTGGCATTGCTTCCTGCATTGACAATGTGTCCTAGTGTATTTTTCAGGACACCTCAGCCATACCTGCACAATACTTTTTCAAAACTCTCTCCCAAAAGCTATAAAATGATTGTCAAGGCAGCCCCAGTCCACATCTAAATCTCTTTCATTGTTTTTTTTTTTACATCCCTGTAAAACAGCCCAATTGTATTTCATCACTGCAGAAACCACAAATGGATTGAATACTGTCAGTTTTATTTGCTCTTGATATTATGAATGTGTTCTGCAAGTCTTATTTATTGGGGAGTGGGTGTAGAGATGGGTACGCATGTAGTTAGGTTACATTGTTTCCCAGGCATACACATTTGCTACATACATGCAGCCACAACCTTGGTGGCCAGTATAAATAGAAGGAGATCTAGGCATTTTTTCACACAGTTGCCCAGTCTCACCTAGTTGGCATATTATAACACCCTATGTATTTTGTATAGTGTGTGTACTCCAAAAACTGCATATTTTTGCTATTGAAAATTTTTATCTCTACCAATAATGACTACTGATATTATTTTAATCAGTGGAAGTAAGGATTTGGCTCTCACCTTTGTACCAGCTATTAACAAAGATCATGTACAAATGCAAATTTGGTGTTCTTTGTTGGCACAGAAACAAATTTACAGTGAGGAAACCATCTAACTTTTGAAAATAGAAATGAGCCTTTCACGGTAGATTGTGTCCATATGGAGAATGAGTGTGGGTTTCTTTAAACTAGTAAAAAGTGGTTGTTATAAGGAGGATTAGTAGGCTGCAATGGAAACTGATGCTGATACTCTTCATTTATAAATGTCTAAGCATATTTTGGTGAAAACATTGTTTGGTAATGGGCCAACTTTCAAGTGAAAGTCCCACACACAACTCATGCTAATGATGGTTGCATAACAAAATGGCAAGCCTTGCCACTCTTTGGTTATTGACTTCATTTGCTACACCAGGTAGCCAACTGGACACGTAGTTTAACTTCAAATTCTCCCAAGCTTGGAAATACTGGATAGAAACTGAAAACAAGAAGTCAAACATGCACCTAACATCCCTTCAGATATTTTCCACTGTTAGCTGAAGGATTTGGGAAGACCAGTTTAAAAGCAGAGGTAACAGCTCCTCTGTTTGCACCAGTGGCTAATCCAGTTGTTAGCAATTTCACGGCAATACACCATAGCAGAGTAGTTGGTGACTCAGGGTGTTAAATTTCGAGAATTCTTCCCCTCTCAGCATTTCTAATGAATAAGAAAAACTCTAAATGTCCATGCAATTGGCAGCGCAAATGGTGAGAATGGGATTTCACCCAGGATGTAGAATCTCTGTCCTGATGATGGAGCATCTTCTCTGTTCCTCCATCAGTTTATCTACAGACCCATATAAATACTTATTCCACCACTTCAGAGATTTTCAAGCATGACCACTCCAGTACTTCTTTGTTGATTGATCAGCATTCATAGCAAGGGTTTTGAATTTCATGGGAGAAAGAAGCATACAAATGTTTGTTTTGTGTGTTTCCTTGTTTAGTATCTAAGTCGGTATACTGGGATCAAAGGTTCAGCCTCCTGGTGTTTAAATCTTAATCCTTGGGAATGCCTGATAATCTAATTTCAATTTAGCTGATATGGTTCTGTTTATTTGGTTTTGGTTCTGGTTATGGTGTGTAGAGAAATCTTACTGTCAGCAGTGAGCAATAATATACCCACATGCTAATTTTGTCTTGCATTTTGCGTCCAGCAGTAACCACACAGGTTCCTTCCATAGCCTACAATAAGGTTATGAAAGCAACACCATTCTTTTGCTGTTTGTAAAATGTGCATTTTTAAGAGCAATAGCATTTAGATTATGGATAGTGTTGGAACATGCAAATACACATGCATGACAATGCAGAGCAGTTTGGTAAATCTCATAAATCTTTTCATGATTTCTTTGTTTGGAAACCATCCTTCATCGGTCCTTAAATCTCAGTCTTGACAGACTGAGATTTGGGATGTGGAAACTGGAAAGTTTCCAGAACTACAGAATGTGACCTCTGAAGATGCAGGTATAACAAGGGAGAGAAAATGAGATCAACCTGGCAACTGTAGAAGGTCAGAAACAGAAATGAGTTCAAGACATGTCATTTAGGATGTAAACCTTCCCAGTTTACGGCCTGATCCCCCAAAGCAGTTTTATACTAAAGTACTTCAAATGAAGCTGGCTGGTACCCATTTCCATAACCTTTAGAGTGGAGACCAGATTTTGCACAAATTCAAGCATATGTGTTTCACTGTGATATTTTCAAGCTTTGTTTTTGAAAACCACCTGCTTTTACAAACACATCCTTAAACCCTAACTGCTCAAGGCAACAATGTTCAGAATCTACTTGCTACACTCAGGATATTTATATAGCATACTATCCTGCTAGTAATCCACATCCAATAGCATCCATAATGGGGGGGCAGTTTGTAGGTCAGTGCAGAGCACAAACTTTGCATGTAAACGGTCCCTAACATTTCCAGGCAAGACTGGGAAGACTCCTGTAGAGCTACTGCCATTCAGTGTAGACAATACAAAGCTATGTGAACTAAAGGTATGACTTGGTATGAAATAGGTTCTTAAACTCCCAATGCCTAGGCAGATGTGAGGGACTGAATTGGGATAATGTAAATATCAGTCTTTGCTAATATGTTCAAGATGGATAATTGTTTTTACACATGCAATCACTTAAATTCTAGTAGCTCTAGATTAAAGCTTCCTTCAGATGTTCAAATGAAAGGGGGAGGAACAATTTTACTTTTGATGAAATTGACACTTTTCTGAAGTTGGGAATGGGTGGACCAACCTAAGTCTGATTTGAGTCAGTTTCACTCAATCATACATAGGTCGTGTTCCACCCTATTTCTTCGTGGGTGCATGAAAGAAGGCATGCAAAATCCAGATGTATATTGTGCACATTTTGTATGTATTCTTCCTGTAAACTGCACATTCTTCCCAGTGTTTTTCAAAGTATTTCCTCTAAAATGCACATTTTGCATGCATTTTGTTAATGTAAAAAAAATTGTTAGAGTCAGGTCTATTTCTTCTTTTGAACATCTGAAAAAGGTGGGTGAGTAGTATTCTCTACATTGAAATGCAGCAATGAAATCCTGGTTAACTTTATCACTGAAAATCCAACCCTTGCATCTCAGTCCTAAAATTTATTCCACTGAGTTCATAGTAAGGCTGCATCAGATTGAAAATGTAAGCACCCTAAAGCCCATTGAAACACATTCAAAACATCATGCTTAATTCTACATTAGATTGTAGCATGTATCTCATTGATTTGGGTGACCCTCAACTTCTAGTATGATGAGAGGGCTGCAGAATTTAACAAGGCATCACATAAATCCTGCTTCCTTCACTGAACATGCCTCCAAGGCACTGGTTTAGGACAGCAGCTTTAGCTCCTAATTTGGTCTGCTGATACGTGATATTAGCTACATTTCTTTGATCTACCTAGAATGCTCCCAACAGGATTTCCCAGGAGCTTCTACGAGTATCTTTGTCAAGATTTCCTTCCCATGATGCAACCATTGAAATAAATTCCATGTATGCACTCAGAAAGATTAATCCCCTCTTAACATCTTGATTTCAGACTCTGTCTTGTTACAAAGGAAGGCTGTTGATGCTTCTTCCGTTAATTATGCACATGACAGGTAATGCTGTCTGAAGACAAAAATCAAGGCTGAGACAACAATGCTTCGTGCCATGTCTCAGCAGATGGCAGGGGGAAATGATAATAAAACATTATATATATGGCCTCCATTAATATTTAAGCAATTTTCCTGAAGAACAGGACAAGCACACTCAAGCTGATAAAGCAGAAGTGATAAGTGGAGCTTAAGGTGTTGACTGGTTAACACCTTCTTCTCAGTAACAGGGCACTCCATTTGTCTTTAACGTGCTTGGCATAGCTTGCTTCCCATCCCTTGTCCTTTGAATTGATCTGAGAGTGTTTGGATTGTCTAATGCAACCCTCACCAAACCAAGCATGGGTCAGAGAGAGAATGAGAGTGTGTGAGAGAACAGATTGGCAGGAACCAGTTGAAACTTGCCTATGTGAAATGAAGAGGGCTGAAAGTAGGAATGGTGGAGGAATTTGATCCTGTTCACATTTAAGGGCCAACTTGCCCAATTTTCACTCTCAGAGGCAAGTATGAGAAACCCAGCCATCCTTTGAAATGCACATTTATCTGAATTTTTCAATGCAGTTCTCTGGCCAAGTAATGTGTACAAAACTGCTAAAGTGAGCATAAAAATGAACACAGTGGTGAAAACTATACAAAAAAATGAATTATATTAGAGGATATTGCTTTGCAAACATGTGTATTAGGCAAATTTGTATACAGAAATGTGCATATTAGGACAAATTCTCACTAAAATCCTGATCAACTTTCACGGGGACATTTTCCTTTCCTTTCTTTCTTTTGAAAAAGAGATCTGAACTTAAGATTGAAAAGATGAGAAACCAACAGAAATAAAAAATGGCAGATCTGTTAACTCCTACTTGTGGTAGAAGAGAAAGAGAAGGTATTTGGTTAAGAATCCTTCATTATTCTGTACATGAACAATACCAGCAGACAACTGATCGAAAGTGTCTGAGAGCTCATTCTCTCTGCTTTTGACTCATTAGACAGCCTTAAACCAGAGAAGGTTTAATGTTTTTCAAGTACACACATAATGTACTTTTATGCATATTTAATCTATCCATGTAACAAACAGGTGTCTCTGCAAACTTAATTCACACCTGTTTGATTTGTGAGTGGAGGCAGAAAATAAAGAGACAAGAAAACCATAGTTGGAGTAAACTAAGGCTGTTTTTACCAATACAAAATGATCTGCACAGAATGAAAATGTGCAAGAATCTAATCACTTATCTGCTAAGCTTGATATAATGGATGAACCAATCCTGTATGTTGAAGGTGAGGTAGTCATATCTTGCCTACCCCAAACCCACCTGTTCAGGCAAGGAGGGGACCTTTTGGTGCATGCCCCCATGATGCAGCACAACTCCTTGTGAGAAGTTAGGGTCAACAGTGATCAATCTAGTGTAGCATCCTGTTCTCACAGTAGCCAACTAGATGCCTATGGGAAGCCAGCAAGCAGGATCCAAGGCCAAGAGCACTCACCCCTCCCATGGCTTCCAGGAACTGGTATTCAGACTGGTGCTGGGCAGTCTAATGTTTGTAGCCCAGAATATCCTGGTAGTGTCCCTGATGCTTTCTTCTTTGATTAAAAGGTTAGGCTCTTTCATTATTCCAAACCTGGCCACGCACACGCGCACACACACGTGCACACCCACACCCACACACCTCCATCAAATCTGGGACTGAAGAGCTGAAGAGGCTATTTATTATTATAATTATTATATATCAGTATTGAGATTATAGGCATTCCACCGTTCCTCCAAGGAGCTCAATGTGGCGTTCATGAGTCTCCTTTTCACCATGACGTCCTCACAACAACCCTGAGAGATATGATGAGAGACGGTGACTGGCCTAAGGCCATGCAAAGAACTTCAAGGCTGAGTACTGACTTTAACCCTGATCTCCCAGGTCCTAGTCTACATAGTCTACTTAATATCCTTCTAGCACATTCCCCATTCTGGAAAGAAGAAACAGAAGTGAATAAGCTGGGCGAGGGGAATCATCTTTCTCCATAGATCTGGAATTTCATGTGAGCCCTTGTCAACAGACCTGTGTGGCACCTTTAAGAGTAAGCAGTTCAGGTTGCGATCCTGTACATAATTAGAGAGTAATAGCCACAGAATTCAGCATGACTTATTTCTGAGTGACGTACAGATTGTTTGGCATTTACCCACACTAACAAGCTGTGACAGCAATTCCAAGCCAATGTGAGGCAGGTGTTAAGCATTTTGACAGCTGCAGTGTCTGATGTTTCTTTGCAAAGGAGGAAGACAGGATGAGAACAGGAACAGGTAGAGGCCACACAACTTTTCTCTGATAAGAGAAGCTACTATGACAGCAGGGACCTTTTCTGAACCAACACAAAGAAAAACCACACCCTTTTCAGTTTGCGTAGATGCTAAGTATGTGCGCAACCACAGTGCTTAAGTGAGCAGCGGCTCACTTATAGGCTTCATTTGTGTTGACGTCCTTGCCCACTTGCTGATGCCCTGGGGGTGGAGATACTAAGACTCATCCTACATTAGAATAGATCAAGGGCCATCAAAATAAGTTGATTGCTCTTAACTTAGAATTGCCTGGAAGAGCATGGTCTATGGTTTTAGAGGCACGCTTAGCTCACTTAACCTTGGGATCCTTTCCTAGAAGACTCAGGGCAGATAAAAGAAAGTACTTTTCACACAGTACATAGTTAACCTATGAAACTCGTTCCCACAGGAGGCAGTGATGGCCACCAACTTGGATGGCTTTAAAAGAAATTCACGGAGGAGAGAGGTATTAATGGCTGATAGCTGTGGTGGCTATGCTGTGCCTCCACAACTTTAGGCAGCAATGCTTCTGAATAACAGTTGCTGGAAATCCAAGGAGGGTAGAATGTTATTGTACTCAAATCCTGCTTGCTGATTTCCCACAGGCATCTGGTTGGCCATTGTGAGAATAGGATGCTGGACTCAATGGGCTATTGGTCTGATCCAGAAGGCTCTTTTTATGTTCTTATTAACTCTGACTTGGCATGAAGGAGAAATATGATTCAGTTCCCCTTTTAATTCTCAGACAAATATGTGAACTGAAACCCAGCCATCCTTTGAAATTTACACTTCTCTGAAATTTGCAATGCATTTCTTCAGCCAAGTAATGTGTACAAAACTGCATATAACAGTGAAAATGATTCAAAAATCCATTATATTTGAGGAAATTGCTGTGCATATGCTCTGTATATTTCACAAAATAAAATGCAAAACTACACTGGAATAAATTCACAATAAAACGCTGATGAATTTTCATGAGGTTTATTTTTTAATTTTTTTTTTTTTTTTGCAGATTTAGCCACTCCAAGGTAACTGCATGAAGCACACTTCCTGTGCTTAACACATGTTGGGGGATTTTATGTTCAGTGATAAGTGATACAAAAACAAGGGTAATTTGTTATGGTGGCGTCATTTTTAAGTAAATAAAAACCACATCATTTTAACTCCTTTTTATCACTCACCAGCTCAAATATGTAGTGTGACCTACTTCCTTTAGTGATTCTTTGTCTTCACTTTTCCACTGACCCATGGGCTTTCTTAGCAAAGAGAGAAAGAGAGAAACATGTCAGTCTGTTAGAATGAGTAGTTTTCTTAAATGCTATTAAGGCACACATACACGCACACACATGCACACACACACACACACACACACTCTTCCCAAACCTGAGCTCGCTGAGTGTTTTAGTAGATAATTTCATACAAAATGTAGGGTCCAAAATATACTTGCAAGTAAAGGGGAAGTTGGACGATTTTTTTTTCACTGAGGAAAAAAAAAGACAACTCATAACCCATCAAGCTGAACGCAGGCCACCCAGCCATGGATTGTGGTTTACCAAGAGCTTGACAGCCCCTGCATTTCAAGTCCCAGATGAGTGGCAACAACAGGAGATGTACTGAGCCCACTGGGGCTGCTATACATGGTTGGTAACCTCCATGCAGTTTGGGGCATCACAGATTGTTTAGACCTGCTCTTGGTGAAGCTTTTTTCTTTCTTTCAGAATTATAGCTGTCTTACTCACTGTGAATGAGGAGCCCAGGAGTTTAATGAAAGAATGTTAGCATCCTTTGATAAGTGAAAATCACTATCCAGCTTTTGTAAAGCAAGATGCATGAAAAGTTTGGGAAAGGGACAGCATCCAAGTACTTGGAGAGATCAGGGATATGATTTTGATCCAAGTTTACAGTTTGTATTCAGAGAGGAAGAGGAGAGAAAAGTTAGTTATTTGGGTATGTGGGTGTTTGAGTGCATGCTTTCTTTTGAGAAAATGAAGGATTGCTGGTTGTGCAATCTGCTTATAGCTGCCCAGAGTGGCTGGGGAAACTCAGCCAGATGGGTGGGGTATAAATAAATTATTATTATTATTGGCGTATCTCTGCCTACACTGAAATCTTCCTTGCATACTTGTAATAACACTAAATATTGTAAATCTCTCATCCAGAGGTAGGACTGGATAAACCCGTCAATTTCATTTTCTCTCAATTACTCATTCTTCCAGTTTTTATTTCACCACTGTTCTGCACTGTTATTGTTGTTGTTGTTTTCCCCCGACGTGAAAATTCATAAAGCTTTTTTAATTTAAAAAGTGCATTGCAAAATTCAGAGAAATGCAAGTTCTGAAAGATAGCATGTTTTGGATTGTGTATTGGTTCTCGTTAAAATGCAAACCAAACCAAATTGATCCTATATCCCAGTCCAGAGGAAAGTAATGGTGCAATCTTATGCACATTTGCTGAAAAGCAACTTTCCACTGTGTTTATTTCGCTTGCTGAAAGTAAAATCTATTGGAAATGTTTGTAGCTAAATATGTTCTACTAACAATGGAGTTATCAGCATTTATTTATATAATCTTTCTCCCACTTTTCAGGCAGAAAAGAAAGAAAGCATCCTGAAGTGGCTTTATGTGACATCAAACAAAAATCCAATACAGTGCTGATGGTACATCAAGGGTATATAACCTAAGGCCCTCCAGAAATTATTGGAGGCCAATTCCCATCAGCCCCAGTCTGCATGTCCTATGGTCAGGAATGGGGGTACTGGCAGTGCAACAGCATCTGGAGAGCAGCATATTAGCCACTCCTGCTGTACATAAATGGAAATGAGGGACAGGCCCTGTCCTTAGGATTATTATTTTTAAAGGATAGATACAACATAGGCTACTGGAGAGGAGAGGTAGAGGAGGTGGTTGAGCTTGTGCCAGAATGAAATGGTGGTTTGTAAATAGGGACATAAGAAAAAATGGAATTGCTTCTCGTGTTAATGCAATGCTCCCAGATGCAAACCTCCTTCCCCTCAAATATACATACTAATGCACATTATCAGGGTAAATGCATTGCAGACAGAGAGAGAGAGAGAAAGTGTGTGTGTGTGTGTGTGTGAGAGAGAGAGAGAGAGAGAGAGAGAACGCAGGGAGGGAGGGAGGGAGGGAGGAAGAGGGTGGGAGGCACTAAATAATTATAATATTATTATTTCCCCAGCCACTCTGGGCGGCTTCCAACAAAATATTAAATTACAATAGTCCTTCAGAATTAAAAGCTTCCCTAAACAGGGCTACCTTCAGATGTCTTCTAAAAAGCTGGTAGTTGTGTTTTCCTTTGACATCAGGTGCGAGG